CCTGATTTTCTGAGATTCAGAGTACCTACAGCTCCCATTGACTTCATTTGAAGTAGTGGGCACTCGTTTTTTGAAAAATAAGACCCTACAAGTGCAAGCCTTGGCCACCATTGAAGTCAATGGTGAAACTCCCATTAACCTCAATGCGGGCCCAGATTTCACCCCAGGTCTCTAAAGTTTGGGAACCCAAAACCAGAAGCACCCTGAGAGTTAACATTTTTGAATATTTGGGGTTTTGTGCTCAGCTCAAGAATGACTGAATTTTAATACAATAAATGTTACAGGAGGGTCGATTTCAATGAAGAAGAGTTGCTGTATAGATCTGGAAAAGAGTAATTGCAAAGTTTTATGTGATTTAAGATGGTTTTATGCATGCACAATAAAAATTTTTTAAATTAAATTTTATGTGGCATAATTAGTTGCAGTACACTGGAACTGCACAAAAAACTGTGGTCTAGATTGTCATTAGCCCTATTGTGACTGTACAGTAGAATGAGAAGGAGTAACAGATGCCTCCTTGTGCAGCCACATGAGAGCGACCTAGATCAAGGCTTCAATTCCCATGCAGAATGCAGTCCTGGCACCACTTCAACCAGCAAGTAAGTGGGTGGGGAAGAGATGAAATGAGTGGGTTCACCCAGGACGCCCGTTAGCAGAAGTGGCTGGGTGCAAGAGATGAAATAAGATGCATCTTTTTTAGGGCTGCAATAGAGTACTTAGCCCTCCCAGAGCATGCAGGTGGGAAGTACAGGAGGAAATGAGACTCTCTCAGGCACAATTCCTGTCTGATGCTCCTCCTGATGGGTGGAGCAGCTGTGCACCCCCATCTTTCTGATTAACGGCTGCCTCTAAAGGCTCACTGTAGGTCTCTGTAACTGTGAAGTACTATACTATAGCTTGTGTTGTTTTCCCTCATTCCCTCTCTTCCCCCTTTTTTCTTTCTGTCTTTGAAAATAAAAACAATCAAAGGAAATTAAATGCAAAAGTTATATTCATGCAATAAGGTTACAAATTTAAACAAAGGAAAGGGAGTGGCAATTTAATAGTTCAGGATTTTATAAAGTTTTATAAACATGGCCCTACCAAATTCATGGTCCATTTTCATAAATGTCACAGTCATAGCTAGAGCCCTACCAAATTCACAGCCGTGAAAAATGCATCACGGACCGTGAATTCTGGTCTCCCCTGTGAAATCTGTTTTTTGTGTGTACTTTTATCCTACAGCAGAGTTTCTCAAACAGGGGTGCCAACCCAAAAGGGGGTTGCAAGGCTATTGTAAGGGGATCACGGTATTGTCATCCAGCTCTCCAGCTGCCCAGCTCTGAATGCAGTGCGCTGCCAGCAGCAGCACAGAAGTAAAGATGGCAATACCATACCACGCCACCCTTACTTCTGCATTGCTGCCAGTGGTGGCGCTGCCCGCCAGCTGCTGCTCTCCAGCCGCCCAGCTCTGAAGGCAGCACAGAAGTAACGATGGCAATACCGCAACCCCTCTACAATAGACTTGAGACCCCTTTTTGGGTCAAGATCCCATTTAAGAAATGCTGCTATTGGATAAAAGTACACAAAAGACCAGATTTCATGGAGGGGACCAGATTTCACAATCCGTGATGAGTTTTTCATGGCCGTGAATTTGGTAGGACTCTATTTATTAACCTTGCTGCATTGCATGTTTTGACTTTGGCCTTGTCCATACACCAATATTGCACCAATTTAATTAAGAACTGATCTACACTTGAAAGTTTTATCAGTATGATTATGTCAACTAGGGGAGGAATTTTTTTGTCGACATAGTTATACCATTAAAAGCCCCAGTGTAGACACAGTTATACCAGTATATAGGTGCCTTATACCAGTATAGCTTATTTTGGTCCCAAACTGGAATAAGCAATACTGGTACAAACACATTTATACCAGTGTAACTATGTCCTCTCGTGGGGTTATACTTTCTAGTTCAGATAAGCTTTAATTTGGTTTAGAAACTGAATTAGCTAAATTGGTGCAACTTTCTTGTGCAGACTCTCTTAGATTGATTTAAGAGGGCTAGTTTCTAAATCGATTTAGCTAAATCAGTGTGTTAGCAAGACTTCTGACTTTAATGGAAGCTAGATTGGTGGCCTTGATGTGTACAGGTGGTATTATTGATTGCTGGTTACAGCCAAATTATGTGCTGATTCTAATCCAAACAATCCCATTTGTTGCAATGGAATTGCACTGGGTGTATATCAGTGTAGAATGATGCCCATAAATGGTTAGTTTAATATATGTTAGGCCAAATTCAGCCCTGGTGTAAGTGGGTACAACTACATATCCTTGGATCTATACTCACAATAGAACTAAATCTGACCTGTGGGTGGGTTCTTTAGTAATGGAATCTTAATTTTTGCATTTCCTAATTTTTGTTCAAATGTAAAACCTTCAAGTTGCCTAGGTTTTATTATTCAATTGGCATATAAGCTAATTTCACCAAAGGTAGTTCTTAAAATACTTTTATTTGGTGGCATTGCAAATATTTCCTAGGGTAAAAAGTGAAATAAATAATAACAGTGTACACAAGGATTGCAAATCATTGTAATTGAGGGATGAGGGTGGACTGACAGTGGGGATTACGTTGCTGGTTGATGGAAATGTTCATGAAGCAATATGAAGAACAAGTTACTTCCAGACACAATGGTGTGTACTTTGAGAACAATTTATATGTGTTTTTGTGGCAAGGGAAGGGAATTGCTATTTTTGTATTATGTATTTTTTTTTGCTCAGTGTCTCCTTTACCTTTTTTGCTTCAATTTTGAAATCAGTAAACTATAAAAGTTGTTTGTGGCTGAAAATGATGCTTTTATACATATTTGATCTACTGTGCTACCCTGCAGTGCTATTGCTGGGATGGAAAAGAGGAAGGTCTAATCTTTCTTTTGGACCTAATCTTTGAGCAATGTTGTGAATCCTCCTGATACTAACCCTAAAATGATCCCAAAGCTTTTCAAACTTTGCCATCTATAAGAATGTGGGGGTGAGGGAAGGGAACAGAAAGCTTTCCTGAGACAGTCTCTAAACAAGATGCATTCAGTTTAGAAGAACAAGTTCATCAATCCCCTCTTTGTAAATGGGCTCAATCAAGTTTATTCAGTCCTTGACTCAATCCTGGGCAACCGGCGACCTCTATTGGTGAATTTATAAAATGAGCCGGAGGACAAAGAAGTCTGCAAGTCATCGTGCATTATGGGGAGATTAAATGAGGCAGACCACTCTCTCCGTACACTTTAAATTCATTTTCAAATTTAAAATCTTGAATAAAGATCTCTTACGCATATTCTTTAGGATACAAAATCAGACTTAGTTTAAAGTTGTTAAAAGGGCCACCTAGGACTGTAGCAGAAAAGTATGGGCGCCGAATAAAGAACAGGGAAGAGTAACTAGAAAGTTGACCTTAATGCTGAAAGCATTTTATTTTAAATGTGCAGTGTTCTGAATACACGATCTATGTAGGGTGGCAATAAAGTGGGTAATAAAGTAAACCCTTTACTCTTTCGTCTGGATTTAGACAAACGGATTGACAAGAATCACTGAGAGGGGAATCTCAGTGCCAAGAAATGGTTTGGAAACAGATTAGTATTCTGGTTCATTTCGTTTCCATGACAGGAAAGAGTATTGCTAGACAGTATTTTGGAAGCGCTATTAATTTTCACTCGCGAGGGAAAATGTTTACAAGTGAAAGGCCATACATATGTACATAAACAAATTAGGGTCTAAGTATCGATAGTATGTAACATATTTAGATACAATATACAGAAACATTGCCTATGCTATTTCAAAAGTTTTCTTGATTAAGGTTATAATCAAACACAGTGGGAGGTTTAAAAAAAAACCAAGCAGAACAGAAGTTGCAATTGCACTGATAAAAGACAGTTTAAATTCACTGTGCAAAATCCAGTTTTGAATTTCAGAATTGGAAAAGGAAGTAGTTATGTAAACTGTTTGGTCTTGGCAAAGGAGGTAAAGTCTTAAGAGTTCAGAGAGCACTTTTTAAAAGATACTTAGGAGGAACATTCATACATCAGCTTCACCGAAAGCACCGTGTTCCAGTGAGAGAGAGAGAGCGAGAGAGAGAGAGAGAGAAATAAATATATATTCCAATTTTCCCAAGAAGTTGCAACTGTCATGTGAGATGGAAGCTAGTCTAAGGTATGTCCTAAACCTGACTGTGTGTGATAACAGACACGCCTCCCAGGTTGTCTTGGGCTATCAGTCAGCTCCAATGTGGACAGGATTGTAGACAGGAATCCAAAAAGGGCACTTTCATTTAGCTTTGCTCGTGTCTCCTCTCACAGTGCCAAGGGGAGTGGGGGAAGAACACAACGCATACGATGTAGCCTATCTCTCTGCCCAAAGTCAGTCCCAACGCATCTCCTCAAAGAGGGTTTCTCAGAAGGGCACTTAAACTCAACGCACAACCATGGGGTCCCCCCCGCCTTACAGTACTGTCTGAACCGAAATCTGGATTTCGATAGTCACTCCCCTTCTCCAGGAGTGCCAGAGTTGTTCATTATTCATAGTCCGGGGCGTGTCCTAAGCAGGAGTTGTATATAGGCAAGAAGTTCAGCTGAATGAGAGAACAGATGGGAGCCCAGAGTTACTGAGAGTAGAAGCCAATAGCAGGCAACAAAGAGAATAAAAAGAAGGGAACTTTGCTCTCTTAATTTATTTTTTCTCCTTCATTTCCCCTCTGCTCTCCTCTCTTTCCGTGATCATTTTGGGACCACGTTTCCTCCCAGCCAGACCATTTTGCTCGGTTTGGGTATTTTTTTGTTGTTGATTTTTTTTTAATTTATTTTATTTTCAAATTTGTGTCTGCGGCAAGAAATCAGTGTGAAAGCCAAGTGATCTGGGAGCTATTGGAGGGGAGGAAGCGACAAGCCGTCTTGGGCGCTAGCTGCTCTTCCTACTGCAGGGGCCGGGGGGGCTGTGAGGGGCTGGCGGGTCCCAGCTGCAGACAAGGGGTGACTGTAGCTTTAGCCTCCTGGGCTCGCCTCCTCTGTTAGGGGGGCGAGCGGTTGGGGCTTGAGCCTTCTGCTCTGAACCTCCGTGGCAGGGGTCTGTCCTGGTCTCTCCTCTCCTGTGTTGGGGGGCAAGTGCCTGTGACTCCCCCCTCCTGTGGCGGGGGGCGGCTCTGCCCCGGGCTAGGTGCGCGTGTGGCTGCGGCTCTGTCCCTGTCCTGCTCTCTCTGCTGCTGCTCCTCGTCCCCTCTCCAGCCCCCCCTGCGCTTGTTGCTATGGTGTCGCGGCTCTGCGTGCTGTGGGCAGTGGCAGCGCTGGCGCTGCTGAGCCGGCGGGCGGTGGCGGTGGGGCCGGTGGTGCGGTGCGAGCCCTGCGACTCACGGGCGCTGGAGCAGTGCAAGCCGCTGCCGCCCGAGTGCTCCGAGCTGGTGCGGGAGCCGGGCTGCGGCTGCTGCTTGACCTGCGCCCTGCAGGAGGGGCGCCCGTGCGGGGTCTACAGCGAGCGCTGCGGGGCCGGCCTCAGCTGCCAGCCGCGCCGAGGGGAGCTCAGACCCCTGCAGGCGCTGCTGGAGGGCAGGGGGCTTTGCACCAACGTGACCACGGGCAGCAAGCTGAGGACCTTCCTGCTGCAAGGAGTAGGACCACATGTTCCAGGTAAGGAGACCAGGCTCCAGCCGTTCACTCTGTGTGTGTTTGTGTGTGTGTGTGTTGTTTAATGCCAAAAAAAAATGCCCCTCCAAAAAAAGTTTGATGCAAATCAATCTATCAATCAGTTGCCTTTATGCAAAAAAAAAAATTAGTTTTCACACACCAAAAACCAAACAAAAAACCACTCCCTTACTGCAAAAATGTTTCTGTTAAGCGCCACCCAAGTATTGCAGCCAACTCCTAGCGGATGGATTCTTAAACAAAACTCCAGCCTTGGTGCACTGTTAAGACTGACGTGGTAATTCATGCTCTTCAAAATAAATGGTTGTGTTTTCTGATCTCGTGGTCAAATCTAGGGCTATGTGTCAAGTTTAGGATCATTTGGATGAGGGATAGGAAAAGAAAGGTTCTTTAATCTCCGCTGTTGCAAAATCCTTCCTTGCAACAGAGGTGAGGATGCTTTTTAAAAAATATATGAGGGAGTCGTTCCCCCTTTGAACTGGGTGACTGAGGAGGCAGGTCTGCCAGGCTGAGATATTAAAAATGAGTGAATTGCTTATAAAATTCATAGAAAGAGGAAAGGAGTACATAGACAATGGGACAAATATTTTCCCAGGCTGGAAAGTTATTGACTATTTAAAACAAAGCATCAGAGGCTGGTAGTTTTAAAAGGGGTGAATACTATGGGGACACTTTTGCAAATAAACGATTGGTAAAAACTAACCTTTCCAGTACTCTCTTGTAAGTAAAACCATTTAGAGTGTGTTTCTTTAAGAGGGAGGGAAGGTTGGAACAATTTTTGTAAGCATGCACATTTTGCAATGTTTAGAAACAAGGAAAGTTGGGATTCAGATCAGGAAAGCACAATTAATATTTGCACAAATTTCAGTAGAGAGTTTACTAACCAATATCGAGGATGTAACATCTACTTCATAAGACAGCACGTTAAAAGGTTTGGCACGGTTGTTTTTAAAGCAGCGTGGAGTTTTTCTTTTGGGTTGCAGGCACTCTTTGGCTGGCCTCTCCTTAGCTGTGTGAGAGGAAGTGGCCGCCAGTGCTGCAGGAGCACAAAATGCCTTATTATTTTTGTGCTGCTCACAAGCAGTGACAACTTGAAAGAGGGAGAGTTCAGAACATGCTGAGTGAAGTTTTAAACCTCATTGAAACATATGGCAACATCCTTCATCATAAGAGCTTGATGCTGTTAACTCTACCTTAAAAGGAATCCTGGATGAGGGGGTTTTCCATACAAATGGGTGGAAATTGGCAACGCTAATTATCAGTTATCATTATTATTTTGTAACTGTATATATAATGAGGAAGGGAAGGGGTAGATGGCTCTGGACTCTCACTTCTGTTCCGGGTCTCTTACTAACTTCAGCCCTAAATAGTTAAAATACTAAAGCCCTACTCTTGCACTCCTTATTCAGACATAAATCCTGTTGAAGTCAGTGGGAACTTTGCCCCTGTGTATAAAGTGAAAAGTAGGCCCCTTCCTGGGAATACAAGTTGAGTGCTTAGTTTTCAAGAGGGAAGAAATCTGCTGAACCAATGCCATGCATAGTGCCTGCCTCTTTAAGGGACTACTAGAGTTTCAATCCTAAATCCAAGTTTCCAGTACAGATTCTAGCATACAACAAACTCTCAGAATAGGATCGAATCTGTTCCCACATATACAGATAGGTAGAATACCATGTAAAATTGTTTTTTGTCGTTAAGTTACAGCAAGTGCTAAAAAAAAGTTTTATATAGATTTATATTTTAAAATGTCATTTTAATGCCAGATTTAGAAGGCCACTAACTTCTAGTGCATGTTAGATCTTTCTGGCATTAATACAGCTCACATTTTAAGGGACTATTATAATATTATTAATAAAAGAAAAAAGCAACTCTCCCTGTGCTTTTTTCATGATGGCTTTGAATGTGTTAGGAATGGGTATGTAACTAACATGACAACAGCTCTATAGAATAAACTTATGCAATACAGTATGTCTTGACATTATAAAAAAATTGTAGTCATAGCTCTTAAATCTGATTTGAGAACTGCTTAAGAACAGATTGCCATGATTAATTATATAAACTATGAAGTGGCCATTGTAATCTGTTGGTTATATAATGCTTGTTAAAATACTTTCTAAATCTATATGTACATGGTTAATAAACTGGAATGGCTGCAAAATGCTATTGGGCAAATAATTTAGATTTAGGAGATCTAGATTATAATGTTCTATTGTATCAATGCTTCCAAATATTGAGAATGAGAAAAAAAATACTACTTAAAAAAAAAATGAAATTAAACCACAAAAAATATGTTCAAATACCGCTGAGAGTCTGAGTTAAACCCACAAAAGCCAGGAAATTCAGAGTTAAGACTTAAACTTCCTTAATCCATTTGCGCTGGGAGTTGGATTTTCCTGGTCAATTATGTCTACTGCCAGCAGTGGCTACACCAAAACCACTGGCACAAGATGTTAACTCTGATCCCTCCTCCTCCTCCCTGTGCCTATGTATTGCAGGGGCCTTAGTGCCATATGTGCTAAAATTGTTGGACTCAGTGGGATGTGTTAGGAAGGCTTTCAGTCTTAATCTGAATTTCTTGGCTTTGGTGCTTTTTAGTGAGCCTTTTAGCACTATTTTAATATAGATTTTATGCTTTAACTTTAGTATAGCATTGAAGCAACGGTATTAAAAGTAATCTGTGCCCTGAACATCAGTTATCATTTTACATTTCCAATGTGATTTCCCTTCCTTTTTTTAAAAAGTTCAGATGGCCTGCAGCCAGAGGGCTGAAATGCAGCAAGCAGTCTGACTTAACTGATAAAGAGAAATAAACTTTAAAAATATCTTAGAGGAAATGCAGCCATCTGCATTTACACTGGAAGAGTCCTGTATAGTATAGTATAGTATAGTATAGCATAGACACATAATCTTAAGTATATGGAAACATTGTGCCTGCACAATATTCTGGGGCACTTTCTTTTCTTTTACTTCTATGGAAAGTAGATAGAGATAGAAAATATTTTTAAACTCTTCTGACTCCGAGTGAAAAGCAAATAAGCAGGATGCTTGTTTTTTGATACTATGGAAGAGTGGATGGCAATGTTGTGTTCATAATCTGAAATGTGTTTCATATAAAAATAGAATCAAATTGGAAAATTCTCTATCAACTAAGTAAAATTTAACTTACCAGATTTTTGCAGTATGTGGGAGAAAATTAAGGCCCATAAAAATCAACATGGTAGTATTACTTCTATTTAGTAATACCTCTTTGTTAATTCCCTTCCTGGAGAAGATATAAAGAAGAGACATTACCTTACAGAATACTAACCATCATAAGACATTACAGGAATTCATTATTGTTACTAAGTGATAATAAAATCAGTTCTAGGACAGAAATAAATTATTTGAATTTTTTGCATGTCTTTTATTGGTAAAGTTGATAACAGATTTCTGGTTCAGATCCAAACTCTGGAAATGATGAAGTCCCAGTGCAAATCTGCCCCCTTCTGGTGAGAAAAAACTTCAAATTAAGGGAAGCAATTGGCTGTATATTCAGCTTAAATAGCAGTGGTTTAAAAAATCAAATTGATGTAAAGTATAAATGAAATTTTTCATACAATTAAGTAGAAAAGAAAGATGTATAATTAGTAGCAAACAACAGTGACAGTGGAATGACAGAGTTTAAAAGAATTACTAGGAGTTTACGAGATATTTCAATCATGAGAACATTAGAATTCTTTCTGTTCAGGAAATACAGACATTGCTGCTCAGAGAACACTATGACATTGAAGGCTTTCTGTGTTTTTTAATAAAAAAGAAAAGAAAAAAATAGAAACTTTTAAAATAAGTTATTGTGCTCCTAGGCTTAACTGAATTTCTTTGTTGAATTTATTTTATTTGAAGGAAATTCCAGTGATTCAGAAGAAGACCAGAATGCCAGTAGCATAGAGAATCAGGCCATCCCTAACTCTCACAGGGTGTCAGATTCCAAATCACATCCACATCACACCAAAATAGATATCATCAGGAAAGAACAAGCCAAAAATACACAGCGGTACAAAGTGGAATATGATTCACAAAGTACAGATACACTGAATTTCTCTTCTGAATCCAAACAAGAGACTGAATATGTAAGTATTTTTATAAGTAGAAAAGATGAATACATTCTCATGTTTCTTTTTCTTTTTTTTTGGCATGCTGTATTTGACAAGATAAATAGAAAACCAGATGGTGGTAATTGTTGTAGCCATTTAAGGAGTTCTGACTGTGTGACCAGTAAAACTATTGGAGATGCAAATACAGAGGGTCAGCAGGCCAGACAGATTACATTTGGAAAACACAGAGGCCTAGTGTTTGTTTTTAATCTGATTATCAATAATAAACCTTGCACAGTAAAAAGTTAATCTCACCTGTAGTTATCACACATGGGTGTGAACAGATTCAGAGTAGGTCTAATAACAGCTTGATTAGATTTGATTACCCATTGGCAAGAAAGAAAGGGTAATGCAAAAAAGAAAAAGGCCTTACATTCAATCCAAAGGTCTGAGTCTGTGCTCCAGGAAGCAAAGTATGGAAAGTGCTCTAGCATGGGACTGAGTACCAGCTTTTGACTGATTATCAAATGTGCCTAGTGCACACAAAGCTGTATCTAGATTTGTAGCGATTGCTCTGTCACACTGAAAATGTCAGCAGTTAATGACCACAGGGATAAGAGCTGCCACTGTTTCTTATTCCTTATTTACAGTATATGTGCAAGATTTGCAGGGCAGCCTGGGTATAGGGAATGTGAGCAGGTAAAACTATAATTCATGTACTGCTCTTGACAGACAATCTGGTTATCTTCATACCAGTGCCAACAGGCATACAAAATGCTGCTTGGGTATACTTTGGCACTTCATCAAAATATTCATGGGCGATCCAGACGTATCTTTCTTCTACAAAAAGAAGGCTTCAAAACCTATAAAAAGTAGTGAGTTCCAAGTAGAGAGTATATGGCAGCTAAGATAAATTAGCAATGTTGATTTTCCTGCATGTTCAATGTATTACTGAAGTCAGAGAAGTCAGACATTCCAGTTAAAGCACATCAGTGTCTGAGGGGTTCAGAATGTCCTTCTTCCAAAAAATAAATCTGTGTATAGCACAATTGTCATTTTAGGTAACTGTGAGGGCTGTTGATAGATTATGGGCCACTGGTCCAGAACTAGGGCTTCTAGGGTATGGCTACACAGCAACTGGGAGCAAGCTTATCAGTAGTCAGACTTGTGCTTGCAGGATTCAAGCTAGCATGCTAAAAATTGAAGTGTGGATCTTTCTGTTCATTTCTGGTCAGATCCATCACCCTATTTTTACGGAGGTTTTTTGCTGCTTAGTGCTTTTAATGTCTACAGATTTACTATTTTTAAAAATATAGGAGACAGGGTTTGAGTGAGAGGATTTCATTTGTGCTTTCTAAAACATGATCACTGACAGGGTCCCTGCCGTAGAGAAATGGAAGATACATTAAATCACCTAAAGATCCAGAATGTCTTGAGTCCAAGAGGATTCCATATTCCAAATTGTGACAAGAAGGGATTTTACAAGAAAAAGCAAGTGAGTAATATTTCTTGATCATTTCAGTAAGTGTATTTAGGCTTTTCCACATTGTCATCTGTTAATACGAAGTCAAATTTAACATTACTGGTAATGTTCATGTGCATTACATAGCACTTCACTGAAACATTGCTTCAACCCCAGTTTTAGGACTTGGTGGCATAGCACCAAGCCATGTCAGGTGTGGACAGTGTTTTTATTTGCTGTCGTTCCTGACAACAGATTAATCTGAGAAACTTCATACCCAATCACACATGGGTTGGCCAGAGCCCTGGATATCAGTGCCCATCAGTTTAAAAAAAGCATTACCTCTGTAATAACCCACTGTGCTAGCTGTTGGAGTTACCATATGACTGTAATAGATCAATGCTTTGAATTGTAAATAGCTGCTTAAGAGTTCCTAGAAGAACTGGATTAGGTCACATTACAAAAAGCAACTTGAGAAAGCCATATATCTGTCCTTTATACACCGCAGAGATCACTTCCAAAATCTATGTCGTGTTATAGTGAAAGTGATACACTCAGTATTTACTCTTCAGTAACGATGGTCTCTCAACCACTTTGGTTTTCCATTTGTGTTTGGTTACGAGATCGTGACCTTTCTTGACAAATGCAGACACCACCACAGCTATTCATGTCTTTGTTATCTCCATATTGAACTACTGCAACATGCTCTTCTTAGGCTGCCCATGAAGGGCTCTCAAGAAACTTTGGCTAGTGAAGAATAAATATCAGGGCCCTTGCTTAGTGTTTTTTCATGTCAGAACCCATCATTCGAATGTTTAGTAGATTGCAGTGGCTCTGAATTAGTTTCTTGGTGCAATTCAAGGTTTAGTTTTAAATTTACAGAGCTTTATATTGGGGTTCTCAGCTTTTTCATAGGCTGGATCACGTCTTTAAAGAGAATTTGTATTGTGGTGCACCTTCTCCCTCCCTTTCGTGATTACTCAGACCCACTTCTCCCTTCACATCCCTGTGGTAACCACAGCTTACACGAGAAAATAATAGTACAAAAGCATTCCATGTATTTTTAGCTGTCTTCTACTGTTTTTTATCAGTTGGAAATGAAAGTGAAGTGAGCAGCCGGCCCAACTTTGCTACCACTCATCCATGGACTTCACTTTAAGTCCTGCTGCTCTCTGTTGCTTGGATCATGGATTTCTTCGAGTATGTCTATTCTGCAAAAAAAACAACAACCCTGTGTATTCTTAACTTGATTAGCTAATCTGCATTAGCTAACTTGAGTTCAAGTAGCAGTGAAGGCACAGCAACTCGGCTTTTAATTTGGGTTAGCAGCTCAAGTTCAACCCCAGGCTGCCTCATAGGCTTTAACTCAAGCTTCTAACCTGAGTTAAAAGCCAAGTTGCCATGGCATCACTGCTGTTTTAACCCAGGTTAGGTAACATGAGTTAAGAACACACCTTTTTTCAGCACAGGTGTACCCTTAGAGACAGCCCTTCCTCTTATGTAGCATCTCAACAACTGAGATCAGCAACTTTTGCAGATTTGATGATGTGCACTCACAGTGGGGGCTCCTGGCTCTAGAATACACTTCTTCCACTGGTCTGACAGTGCCTATGTTTGTTGACCTTTAGGGCATGCTGCATAGCTCATCTATTCACTCTAGCTTTTCCTGAGCAGCTGGTGATTTTCTCAAGCAGGGCAAGTTTCTTTTTTTGGGTTGGAGGTCTCATTTAAGCTGGTGTGAATTCTTGTTCCATGATATTTTAACTTGATGTAAATTAACGTAGGGCCATATGCAGGTGGCAGTCCTCAATCTGAATTCATTCCAAAATGCCATTGATTTCAATGAAAGTTATTCAGTGGACTAAGGACAACACTGACCCTCAGAGTGGGAACCAAGATTGTGTGTTTGTTCCTATGACATAGAAGTGGTTAGCTTATTTAAAGCAATAGATATTTTAACAGAGTTCCAAGAGATATGCTTTTTGTTACATACTATAGTCCTTGTGCTGCTTTAGCTATTAAAGAAGACCAAAGAATATGCTCTACTTTGCCCACTTGCAGAACTTGTCTGCAGTACTTTTGTCAACTTGCAGCTCAAATTGTGAGCTCTTTATGGAATGGACTTTCTTTCTTCAGTGTTACTCTGTGCTAGGTGCTTTCCTGGGTACTACCATAAATAAATAATAAGATCCACAGGCACCAAAATGTTGAGGTGCATTTTTGAGCAATGGCAATTCTGCCATTGGGGAACCTGGGCACTTCCCCACTCCAAAAAATGATATTAAAATAAGTGTACCTTGATGTCAGTTCTAGTCATCATTCAAAGCTGTTCATTTAATAGAATAAGATGAAGATCCCATGTAAGGGGAGCTGCTTCTGCACTCTAAATTATGTAGTGCATGTTCCACCAGAAGCTTTAAAACTGCATCTGCTGAATTTCAGAGAGAGTTCCTGCACTACATTTAGTGGCCTATCACGGTGGCATCTATGGCAAAGGATTGAGGGGTAGTTTCAGATGTGCCCAGTCCTGCCAGATGCCTTGCCACATGCCTGTATGTCCCACTGGCTTCAATAGGAATTGAGGGAAGCTCATCATCTTGCAGAATCAAGCCCTCAATGAGCACAGGTGGAATCAACATGAGCAAATAGGTTACCTGAGTGCTGATCTAGTGCCAACACTTAGTACTGCTATCAAATTGTAATGCAGGCCTTAACTTTAGGGTAGGTGTCAAGGGTACAGTCTGCAGCTCACAAAAATGCAAAATAATATGTTTACAATATCTTTCTAAAATTAAATACCACAATAGATATGAGAAATAAGTACATATATAATAGATTGCACTTGCTGCCCTATGGAAAATGTAGTGATTGCCCTGCTTTTTGCAGCATAAATTTAGGTCTGATACTTTAGGAACTGAGAGAACGTATCTAATCTGAATAACATAAAGCTAGGTTATTGAATGAATTTCCTACATTGCTACTATTAACATCATTTAGCATTTGTAACTCATTAGTATCCACATTATGACAGAAGAATTCAGTATGTTATACTAGGAAATAGTAAATCATCCCTAAATAATATTATTTTCACTGTCCTATAAGGCAGGCATTTTTAATGATGGAAATATTGGCTTTCTTCTGGTACCTCTAAAGTAGCTGGATATGCAGCTCAGTGCACTATGGTGGCACACCACCTCCAAAGAATGCTTCCCCGAGAAGGTTAGCAAGGTGTTTGCATATTTTGTAAAAGTAGTTCATTCTTTACCAAAGCAGGTTAGCCATCATATCGGAAGCTGTGTGGTGTAATGGTTAGAACAGTGCGTTGGAATCAAAACTCCTCCAGTGTTTCTTTTTGGCTCTGCCACTGATATGGACCTTGATCCTGCAAGCTGCTCCACACAGGCAAACACGCTCATGCCTAAACTGATCCCCATTGAATTCATGGACATAAGCATTTGCTCATACAGAGCAAATTGCATGATTAGGGCCTTTTTGCATCAGCTTAATGTCATATTAGTACCCACCTCATAAGGTGCCGTGAGAATCAAATAAAATGTTAATAAATGCTCTGAGATCTTAAGAAAATAAAGGCACTTTGTGAGTGCAAATTGTATGTTTGTAGATAGATATAGATACAGATACAGTCCAGTAGTACAATGTATTTCAGCATAGTGCCAGGCTATGCAGTGCAGGGCAGAACTAACACAAAGAAACAATATGGTTATAAATAGGGCCCTACCAATCCCCCATGAAATCTGGTCTTTTGTGTACTTTTACCCTATACTATACTCCTTTATACTATAGCAGGGATAGGCAACCTATGGCACGCATGCCGAAGGCGGCACGCGAGCTGATTTTCAGTGGCACTCACACTGCCCGGGTCCTGGCCACCAGTCTGGGGGGCTCTGCATTTTAATTTAATTTTAAATGAAGCTTCTTAAACATTTTTAAAATCTTATTTACTTTACATACATCAATAGTTTAGTTATATATTATAGACTTATAGAAAGCGACCTTCTAAAAATGTTGAAATGTATGACTGGCACGCGAAACCTTAAATCAGAGTGAATAAATGAAGACTCGGCACACCACTTCTGAAAGGTTGCTGACCCCTGTACTATAGGGTAAAAGTATATACAAGTACACAGTGTTTCTCCAACGTAAAAGGGGGTCTCGAGCCTATTGTAAAGGGGTTGCAGTATTGCCACCCTTACTTCTGCACTGTTGCTGGTGGCAGCACTGCCTTCAGAGCTGGGTGGCCAGAGAGCAGCGGCTGCTGGCCAGGAATCCAGCACTGAAGGCTACACTGCTCCTAGTGGCGGTGCTGCTTTCAGAGCTTGGCACCTGGCCAGCAGCCGCCGTGCTCCAGCTATCCAATTATGAAGGCAGAGCAGAAGTAAGGGTGGCAATACCATGAACCCCCCCCCAACAGCTTTGCCACCCCCTTTTGGGTCAGGAACCCCAGTTTGAGAAACGCTGACTTAAGGGCTTTACATATTTATATTTTGCCATTTTTCAATAAATATTCATGCTTTGTTACAACTCTGTGAAATTTAAGATTTAAATATCTAAAATAGTGAAATTCAAGATTTTTAAAATGCTATGACCATGAAATTTATTAAAATGGACCATGAATTTGGTAGGGCCCTAGTTATGAAGGACCAGCATTTGTCTACAGATAAGTGATAGGTTTGGGATAAATCTAGTGAAGTATCATGATCATCTAGAAGAGCCATATAAAGTTTTTCATAAGAAAGCTTTCCTCTTCATGTTCACATGAACCACCTCTTTTCCTCACTGACTGGCTCTTCAGGAACATGTTGAATGCAGTTGTTCTTCATGATTTGATTTGTGGTTTTCTAGTAATTGACTTTCCAGACACCCTCGGGGGTAGTTTTAATGAGTGAGAGGTTTGCTGTAAAGGAATTTTATCTATCCAGATACATCATGTAAAGCAATTTAAAGTATTTATATTTGGGTTTTTTTATATTTAATTATTATTAAATCAGGAGCACGGGGAAATTATCAGATAAATGTGGTTGCCAATATGAACTTATCATCTTGCCAAGCCATGTGATGTACAACATGAAATCAAATAGGAGAGTCAGTGGTACTGGAAGCTACATGAACAGTTCTGAAAGGAATTCTGCCCTCCACTCTCTGTCCATTTAAATGAATATTTGTTATTTACTTTACTTTTCTTGCCCGATGCTTCTTGGTAAACATCGGTTTAAAGGTAAAACTGGACGGCTGGCTTCGTGGTTGTTCTAGAGTAGAGGGATCAGAGTTTGAGTCCCTAATTTAATTTTTGCTCCTAGATCCTCAGAACCTGGAAACATGATACAGAGTCATTGTCATCATGTCCCCTGGAAGTGAGGAGTGACACTGATGGGCTTTAAAGAAATCTGTGTTCAATCCTTAAGTAAATCGTGTAAAAGAGAGGAAGTGATAAAGAGGAATTTGGAGGGACTCCTCCAGAGCATAAGACCCCTTTGTTTATTATATACCGCACCAGATCTATTAGACATTGATCCCTACTTACTCATGCCTAAGTCATTTATGTAAGGTTGTACGATAGAATTGTGGTATATGGGTCTAGTTTCATGGTGGGGGAGTATGTCTGTCTCAAGCAAGCAAACAATTTTTGATAGAATTAAGATTCTCTAAGAATTATCCCAAATCCACATAAATGGCCAGCTTTTCAGTAGATGTGAATTGGCATAGCTCCATTTAAGACAAAGCTCCCCCAATCCTGGGCCAGCCAGAGGCCAAAATAACCTTTGCTATAAATTAGAGTTTTCTAAAGGCTGCTCCAAGTTATGCCAATTGCAGTCCCATAGGGACGACTGTACTGACCAGGAATTAAGTGGTGGCCCTTATGCTTTGCCATGTCCCTTCTGCACTCCGCTGTGGAGGAGACGGAGCAGGCATCTGGCCCCTCTGTCAGGAAATCCTCAGCTGCCCCATTTAGGGCATCATTCCAGCTGTTTTGCACTTCTGAGGCAGCACAAAGCAGCTGGAGCTGAGCCCAAGAATCTGGCCCCACTGGTATACACAACACAGAATAAGAGATGTCTTTTTGATATGCACTGTCTATCATTTCAGTTGATGTCAGGGCAAGAGAATGCAAAATATGGGATTTTAGAATAAAAACATCCCTTTTGGGCCAGATAAAACTATTATGAGAGATATGTTTGACCCTTGCCCCAGTCCTGGGCAGTCAGTGCAAATCCTTATTTTGAACTTGAGAGATCTGAAAAACATTTCTGTGTTGCTTTGGAGACAAAGCATTATTTTTGCTGCTTATCTCTAAGGCACACAGCAGATCTGAGAGTTTTGCCCAAAACAAGCTAATTAGAAGAAATGAAAGGTGGCTTCTAGCTGTATTTAATTCTGAAAGTCAGTGATGAGATTGTAGAAAATAAAATGACATTAAAAATGAGACCAACTTTTTAAACTGATAATTTGGTTTACATATGTATCCATATGTAATCAAAGTCAGTTCCTTTGAACCATTGAGATTTGTGCAGCACACTTCATACAGTACCTCTAAAAGCAAGGAGGATATGTTACAGTTATTAGCAGAGGTACAATCTAGTGGACTGAATACCAGGCTGAGAGTTAGGAAATCCTCACTCTAATTCTGGGCTCAGACACTGACTGTGTGTCCTTTGGAAAATCACTTAAGAATTTCTGCCTTAGTTTCCCGATCTATGAACTTGTTATAATAAAAGAGATGTGGACTGTGGATTAAATTATTTTGACGCCAAAGAGTTTTAAGGATTAAACGTTAGCACTTCAGTTAGGTCCTGATCTAATGCCCATTAAAGTTAATGGAAAAATTCCCATTGACTCAATGGGCATTGGATCAGGCTATTAATGGGCTTGTTAAATAATGTAAAAGGATAAAATCCATGTTGGATTCATGTTTAAGGACAACTGACTGAATGGCTAACTTGTAATTCAAATAAAGATAATCAGATAATTAGGCAAATTACTAATGCAGCTCTTTTTTCGATTGGCCAGTGATGCTTTTCTCTCTCAGAAAACAAGCATTTGTTTACTTTGGACCTGATCTTGCAGACATTCTTCTGGCACAACTGCCATTTAAGTGACTAAGATTGTTGCATGCAGTATGGCTGCAAAAGAAAGGTTCTGAAGAAGAGAAAGCTTTGTGTTATTTCAGCACGTGACATGATATTTGGTCTTCCTGCCCAAAGATATAGCAAGAATATAGACTTAGATAATCGTCTTCTGGCCTTTGGGATCAATGAATCTAAATGACTGCTTATTTTCAGTTAGAGTGAGTGCTCTTAGTTCATGTACCATAATAAACATGGTAAAAGCAAACATTCCTCAGGGAGAGGAGTCTGTACAGCACAATATCCAGCTTTCTGAACCGTGCAAGCCCTGAAAAGCTGTGGGTGACGTTCGCTTCATGGCAGGATGATGGAATCCAAAGAAAATTTTCCAGCGACGGAAACCCCAAAGAGATCTCTTCCCCCAAAAGTCCATAGTGAGGAGTTGTGGAGCTGGCTAGGGGTAGGGATAAAGGAGCAAATGAGCTCACCATGTTCCACAGTCTTCAACTAGCAGGGACTGTATGTGCTGCACTGTGCGGCCTTAGATGGGAAAATTAATGGCTCCTGGCTCATGGACCAATCAGCTATGTTATAAGGGTGAAATGGATTCCTATGCAGAGGCCTATGCACCATTTAAATCCTACTTAAACCTTGTTTTGAGGGCTTAATTGGTGCCTGCATAGGTCTTCTGCAGACTCTTTCAACATGGATAAATTTCATCCTCAATTAATAAAATACATGAGCTGGAAATGTACACAGCCCACCCGCCTGCTATGGAGGATGAGTTCTCTTGTTCCCTCTAAAGAAGGTGGAGGTAGGCTTCTTTTTTTGTGTATTTTTATTTTTGGTGGCAGAGGGCAGGCAAGGTCTTAAGGCTACGTGGCTTCTCTGTTCTTGTCCCTAGGTGACATATCTGTTGTAGTTGTCATCTAGCAAGAGCCTGGTAAATTTGTGCCACAGACTCTTTAAAATTCGTCACCAACTAAATGGTGGTCATTGTAGCTCTGATGAACTTGTCTCTGCAATAGGTCATTCAGTGAGTCTACAACCATAAAATCCCACAAGTCCAGTTGACATAGATTGTGACTCCATCCTGGGAAGGAGTTGACTGTCGAATGCTTAATATGACATTGCACGACTATTAGAGAGAGGTGCTTCCCCTTATAATAGAAGAAAACCGTCACAGTTACAGAGGTACCTTTCAGCTGGACTGGGCCTAGCTGGCGAATGTAATATGCAATATGTGATCAGGAACTATGTATGCTGCCTTAGATTCTCTTTGTAACTCTTGGGTGCTTGGTTTTCCATCTTTCCTGTACTAAATTATTATTTCTAGGGAAAGTTTTAGCTTTTATATAGATATATAAATAATTTATAGCAAAAGCATACACACACACTATGTATTACAATTTCAGGTTGGCTTGTATATATAACTAGTCCTGCTAGGCAAGTGCTTTCTCTAGAAATGATTTAGGTTATGGATTAATATGCAGGCAACCTTATTTATAGGAAATTATATATGTAAAGTTCTAATATACCTAGCAGTTGTTGAAGTGATAACTCTGTTGCAGGGTATTATATATCTGCTAATAAACGTCAACTACAGTACTGAAATGCCTTTGTCAAACAGATGCAAGCTGAGGTGTTATTGCTGCAAGTGCAGTCTCTGCCAAACATGTGCTCCCTTAGTATGACAAGAGTAATCTGTTGAGTTTTTTCCCAAATAAAGGACCTGATCCTACAACCTTTACAGTTGCAAGTAGTGTCATTGAAGTTGGTTTTGCTCAATAATGGACAACTGTGCTGTGTAATATCATGTGGAGTGGTTTATAAAGCTGCCTTTTTGTGCTTCTAAGAATAGTTTTATTGTAGGATTATTAGATCCCTAATAGTTGGCTGGCAGTAGAAATAAAATATCATTATAATAGTTTGTGCTGGTAATCGGAATTCCATTTACTCACAGCATGAGCAGTGTTGATTTGGCCATGTTATATTACTGAAGCTATCAAAGAGATTAGAATTAACTGGAACCCCTGCTGTACCCCAAAAAATGGTGCTAACTGAACCTTACATTCATTTTGTTTCAGTGCCGCCCATCCAAAGGCCGAAAGAGAGGCTATTGCTGGTGTGTGGATAAATATGGACAGCCACTTCCTGGATATGATGGGAAAGGAAAAGGAGATGTCCACTGCTACAACTTGGAAAGCAAATGAGGGGCTGGTGCCATCTCCTGTGGAATCTGTGTGTGGCAGTTCAACCCATCAGAGACCTTGGAGGGACTGGGGAAAAAGCATGGACTGCATTGGACTTGGAGTTACGAGTTCTGCCTCCTACTGATATTGGGGGATTCATTGACTCTATGGACTCTGCAGCTGCACCCTGTCACTGACACACTTCCCGCTTTCTATAGAACATAGGGAGCTCTGAATTCCCAAGTAAATCTGCACTATTTATCCCCAGAAAGAAAAAAAGGCACTTCAGAATGGATTCAGGGAGTCTCCACTGACTTTTTAAAATAACGGCCTGTGACCAATTTGATCCCGAAAGATACTGTGTTTTATTTTAAAGAATTTATAGATTGTAAGCTTGTAAAAATATTAAAAAAAACCAAGGATTTAAAATTTAAGCTTTTTCTATACAGGTCTGACGGGACACTTATCTTCACGGGTAAAATGTTTTATAAAAATCTCAAAGAACTTTTTAAAGAAACGTGTTTCTAAAATAAAGACATGGCTATTTTTTTCTGTAAAGTATATTATGAATATTCTGTTAGTCTGTATTTAATATAATTGTTTTTTAATAAACGTTATTTAAATGTAACATGTGAATACCAAATGTTACACATTCATTTTGGTGTATGCTGCTGAATCCATGCAAGTCAAAAAACAAAGGGGATTGTAAATAGAATGGCATATATATTTTTACTGGCTGAAGAAAAAGTTTCCTAAAGAGGCAGAGTTCCCTATTTGAAGTAGCTAAAACCATCAAAATAACTTTTAAATTAACCTTTCTGTTGGTTTTTCTAGTGTATACCTCACTGTAGTACTTAGATGTTAGATAAGCAATTAATAGTTGCATTGAAATTGACCATAAACGACTCTTCTCGCCTACTCGTTTCAGCTATTCTAACACAATTTTTTCCCTTCTTCCCTTTTTTAAAAACTGTTAACACTAGATATTCTACCTTCATTCTACATGAGGAACTCCTATTAAAGTCAGTGCCAAACATATACAGAAAAGAGGAGATAGACCTAAATTTTAGGACTCTTACATTGCATGGTCGTAACTTCCACTGACTTCATTGGGAGTTGTCTGCTTGCCTTTAAGAGCAGAAGAGTAACCATCCGGTTCTGAAAAAATATGTCTCTCTGTCATGAATTCACTTAGATTTTCAATCTGAAGAGAGGTTTTATGTTCTTAATTTGTGGTTCTTTCAAATATCTGGCATATGGCATCTATTGGAGTCAGATTCCCATTAAAATTAATGGGAAGGTCTACATGAAAATCAGTAGTGGGATATGGCCTATGGAATTGAGCATCTTTTCCTTTTGGGATAAGATTTGAAAAGTAATAATAGTTTATTACAAACTGCATATAAGTAAGTGGTGTAACTAAAAAAAAATCAACATTAATTGAATGTCCTATTCAATATTTAGCGAGTCAGGAATTAGGTAGTTTTTGTGACTGCACCCACCAGCCTTGTATTTGGCTTGGGCTATCTGAACAGCCTTACTTGCATCCCATGCAGTTTCTCAGTTTATAATCTTAACAAAACGATCTTGCATCATCATTAAAACTGAAATCCTAACCCAAATCCTAACCCAAACTCAGGTTTGTGAAATAATTGTTACTCCAAAATGTGTACAGTCCTGAATATTTGGGTTTCAGGCAGCTTTGTGAATGGATGAAAATACTGCAATTGTAAAAGTTTTACCAAGAAAACATTGAAATAACACTTTTTTAAAGCTATAATCAATCTACCTTCATACTGTCACACGAGGAAGATATTGTATACAGCAGCATTATGTCATATAACTGTAGACATGAAACTAAGGGCTAGATTCATGAAATGGAGTCAATATTTAACAATATTCAGTAATAATAATAATAAGTCTTCTTCAAGTGCTTGTTCATGTCAATTCCAATGAGGTGTGTGTGCACGCACGTGCATGGTAGCCAGAAGTTTTTCCCCTAGCAGCATCTGTTGGGTGGGCCTGGACGCCCCCTGGAGTCGCACCTACATGGCCCTCAATATAGAGCCCTGCCAACCCGCCACCCCCTCAGTTCCTTCTTACCGCCAGTGATGGTTAGCTGGAACTTCCCTGTGCTCTTGTCTCAACAAGCGCATTTAGCAGTTTCTTACATTGTTCTCCATTAGTTTTCCATTGTTCGTTAATAGTGAGTAGTTAGTAATTCGTTAGTATTAGATAAGTTTCCTTTGGGGGTGGGGGGAAATCCCCTCCTACGCTGTCCTGACGCCGGGGCATGCTGGGGTCTCTGGGCTTCAAAGCCTGCGAAGCCTGCGGCAAGTGTATGCCCAGAAGCGATCCTCACACCTCGTGTCTAAAGTGTTTAGGAGAGGGCCATCAGAAGGATCATTGTGCCATTTGTAAGACCTTTCGGCTCAGGATTTTAAAAGAGAGAGAGCAGTGCCTGAAGGTCCTGTTGATGGAGGCAGCACTCTGCCCCCAGTCCAACCCTGGGTCGGCGGATCCTGCGCTAAGTACCTCCTCCTCGTGCAGAGCGCTCCAGCACTGTCAGCATGAGCACCAGGGCTGGGTAAGGATAAGGACTCACGGCACCGTCCCGACTCCACTCGTGGCTTCATCTCACATCACCGTTCTCGCCTCCCAGACGGGACAGGTTGATGGCAATGGTAGTTCCCCAGGCTCCTTCAAGGGGAAAGGCTGCTATGATGGCCCGCTGATCTCCAACCCCAGCACGCCACTCCCTGGCACCGGAGTACACCCAGCAACCACCCTGAGCCCTGAGCCCTCAGCGTGAAAACTCGGTGCCTAAAAGTACCACTCCCCCCATGGTTATTGTTTTCAGACACCGCAGAGTCAGTGTCTGTCCTGGAGGAGTAGGAGCAGACGGTCCACATCAACTCGTGACCGGCACCCTTACCCGGCGCCTTGGCCTGCCCAATGGCAGCCCCTGGTGCAGTGGCCCTTTTGGACTCTCTGGGCTTTTCATCAAAGCCAAGGTCGCAGCCAAGGGTCTCATTCCAGGGCGACTTAGGTAGCCTCGGCTTTGTTTGTATCCCTGCCAGCATCGCCGGCACCGGCAGGGTCGGGGGTAGGCCCATTACCCCCCTGTGCTACCATCTCGACGCCTCCGGCACAGCCGGCACAGGGTCTGGGGGTCCTGGCGGCACCGGCACCGGCGGGGGCAGGAGAGACCCCCGGAGCTCCTGGCTGCTGTGAGCGGCAGGGGGGACCCCGACAGCTCCTAGCCATGGCGGGCGGCAGGGAGGACCCCCAGAGCTCCCTGCCAGCGCAGGAGGCAGAGGGGACCCCCGCAGCTTGGAGCCGCCAGCGGTGGGGGGCCCTGGAGCTTCCCCCCTCACCCCCAGCTGCCCAGGCGACTCATTTTGTCATGGGTGTTTTTAGTGAAAGTCAAAGACAGGTCACAGGCTTCTGTGAATTTTTCATTATTGTCCGTGACCTGTCCATGACTTTTATTAAAAAATATCTGCGACAAAAACGTAGCTTTAGCCATTGATAGTTTACAAAAATGCAAAATCTTTGACAGCTCAAACAAGTTCCTTAATTCATTAAGGCAACCTGGGAGACACATACATTATTTTTAAAATATGATTCATTGATTAACTTGCATGTCTGTGCAATGTTAATGATTCTAGTCTTTTTGTGACATACAAAACACATAACCTTAGCAGTAAAAAGGATTTTATGGCTATGCACCAGCCAGTCAACTTTTCAACTTTATTAAAAAAAAAGGTGAATGTATCTAAAAATAGTAAATAAAATGTTTCTCTTGTGTGTGAGTGTGTGTGTGTGTGTATACCATTTCCTTGATGAGTAGTTGACTGCTATATATTTCACATGACCATGGTATACTTACTCTAATACCAGACACTGCAGTTTGTGTATACAAGTATCCCAGCAGACAACATTCTTGGTGTGAAACACAAAGTAACCTTATTGCTATCACAAAAACACTCATTAAAATGAAGATGAACTGTGCTTTTTTCATGTTACTATTTCGGTTAAGACAGGGGTTCAATTCAACAAACAAGGTACATGGGCATGTAATGATTTTCCCACGGAATGTTGCATGGGAGTTGGACTGTATAATGAGTGCCCAATTTAAACACAAAATATTTGTGGGTTATGTTTGAGCAGTAGAATGTGGGCAGAATCAGGCGAACATGCAAATATATATAGGTCAATCAATATCAGTTTAGGGAAAGATCTCTTTTCACCCCACCCATATGTTAAAAAACTAGTCCTGTTAATAGCTGTAATTAGTGGAGGACTTTATTCAGTAAAAATGTGTTGCAGTTGCTATGTTATTAATGGCAGAAATAGAATCAATGTATTAGATAAATTACTGCTGTTTTTCATGCCTTCTCTATCTTCTGCTCAATATTTTATTAAGCAAACTTGTATTAGCTAATAGTTTTGAAACGCTATTCTGAGAATTAGAAACACTGCAGATGAAAACATTGTAAAATTCTCAAGAAAAACATGATTATTTTGGACATTTTTTTCCCATTAGGTAGTGCAGAGAAGTACAAAAGTTAATCTTAATGTCCATATTGTGAATGATGGCTTTTCTGAAAGATAATTCATCTCTAGGTATTACATAAGTACCAAATATAGAACATATTGATTTTAACCAGCATAATAAATAGCTGCGTAATAAGTCCCCATAAATGACCAGAATGCAAGTTAAATCTGCCTGCAAGCAGCTCTATTATCTTTCAAGCCATTTGAGAAAGTTTCCTTTTTAAATAAACCTACTTTGCTATAATCTTTTGAGCTCAGAATATCCTTGTCCACCATTTTGGCATGCACATCCTTCAGGGCATAATGGTAGCTATTTGTGACAGGGTAAAGGAGGCTTCAATGAATACCAAAACCACAGAATTAATGAGTTTTTAGTACAGTCTGAACTTTTTTTTTTATGACTAAATGCCATAGAAACAGTAACACAGCATAATTCTTTATTGAACTGAGCCCTAACATTAAGTAATGGTTTTACAAATCTTCTGGGAAATCATTTTTTGGTATCTAGATTCACTCTTTAAAACTGGGTGCCCATGGATGGCTCCACAGAGACGTTACCTGTTAGCCATGCAAATTATAGTTAAAGTATGAAAAGTGCTGAGCAACTTTGCTGGACGCCAGAGCTTCATATTTAAAATGACATGTTTATAGGGGTTGCTATTTTGTAACCAATGTAACCATTTTGTTATGGGCAAGTTGTGCATTTTAAAATCATTGATGTCTAAATTATTAATTTCTATGAGGACATGTTTGCTTCTTATAAAATGACCTTGCTCCCCTTTGTTTATTTATTTATTGATAAATAATTCTAAAGACTGAGGATGTGTGACTATTCCAAGGTGGTTGGGTTTTTGGGGGGAGGAGCTGCGCGGGGGTTGGTTTTTCGCTTTTAGTCATCATTGCATGTAATAAGACTATGTTTGCCAGTGTGGGAAGTTCATTCTAGGTAATACTTACTATTAGGAGGAAAATGTTTTTGCATATCCATTGGGGATAAATATCTTCTTTCATCTTGAACCCATTTAGTCTATCAACATGTGGTGTCTGGGTGACCATTGCTCCACTGCA